AGCCTGATTTGAGCAAACTGTTATTAGCAACAATATTTCCCAATAGTTTCTGATCAATTACTAGATTGAAACCTCTTTGCTAGAGGCCTATCTCTGGATTCTCATTTTTGAAAGCACTGTATGGATGATAGTGAATTCATGAAGAAATTGCCAGAGTGAAGTAGTTACCACACTATAAATACACAAATGCCACGTTCACCACAAATCAAGCAAAAGAAACTTGTTAGCTGAGGGATGGGAAATGATTTAGTACTGATAAAAGGTAAATAACGCAACAACGCAAGGCACTGCCATCGAGTCCGATCCAACTCATAGCAACCCCTCCTTGGGTTTCCCAGGTTATCACTATGGAAGTAGACTGCCCAACCTTCCTTATTATTGTACATTTCTCTGTCTTAATTTGGCCCACAAGAAAAAATACACATCTAGTAGCAACTGTCAACTATCTTTACTTAGAAGCTTGCTGTTTTAAGAATTCTTTTCGAAAGTTTCATTTGATGATACATTTCATAAGGTCAGAACAAGTTAATTTTTTCAAAATCAACTGCCTCTTTATGCAACTTCCAGCTGCGTTTGTTTTTCAGTTTACTAGAAATGGAGAACTAAATCCCTCTTCTCCTTAAAAGTTCACAGTATAAAATAGTATAGTCACTTAGAAAAATAGTTTGGAAGTTTCTTAAAAAGGTAAACATAAATTTACCATATAACCCAGCAATTCCACTCCTAGATGTCTACCTAAGAGCATCGGCTCCATGCAGGATTCAAGCTTACCAAAAACAGCTGACCACTCCCAAAGCTGCTTCTTATATATTTAAAGCAGACCACATCCCTAAACCAGCTACTCAGCTGCTCCCAGCAGATTCCACCATGGAGGTGATTGCCAGTCTCATCATGGGGAATAACTACCACCAGCTGCCCAACCACTCAAAACCAGGCCCAGCCAAGTTGACACACAACCTGAACAACCACAATTCCAACCCTTGTCAACTTGGCATCTCTACAGATCTCCTTCATTGGGTGGCCCAAATGTCCTAGACCATCTGAGTGGCAACCTCACCCTCTTAGCCTGGCAGGCCATATTCCTCTACCTCCTGGGCACGGCAGCCCTGTCCCCTCACTCTTGGACAGCACCTATAGCCCCATCCCATTGGCCCACATAAACGAGCAGCCCCATACTCCAGAACCAAGTTGGTGAAGGTCTGACACTTTGAGGCTTAGGCAGCTCTGCTTCCCATCTCTTTGGTCTCTCAGTTTCTACCAATCAATACCCGAAGGCAACCCACTCGGCTGGAAATTCTTCCTGCTCAAAAAGCATTCAGCTTTCTTGCTCCGTGGGCCAACCAACCTGCCACTCCATTACATACGGGTCAGTCACTCTCACTCACTGCCTTCCAGTCGGATCCGACTCATAGTGACCCCTCCTTGGGTTTCCGCGGTAGTAACTCTATGGAAGTAGATTGCCCAGTCTTCCTTCTGAGGAGTGGCTGGTGGGTTTGAACCGCCAGCCTTCCGGTTAGCAGTCAAATGCCTTAGGCACTGTGTCACAGAGCTCCCTACATGTCAGTATGTTCTACCAATTAATGCCTGAAGGCAACCCACTCTGCCAGGAAGCCACCTAGCAGATGGAATCCAGCTTTCTCCTCCACGCTGGTAAGCCTGTTGCTGTCTGATGCTGTTCTCTCGGCTCTGCTGCTTCCATCTCTCTGCCAGTGTCTCTTGTCAAAGACACATTCCACTCCTATTTCCACGTTTTAGATATGTCAGAGCACCACCCCACTCTCTCAGTACCACATTGTTTTGGTTATCTGTGCCACTGTAACAGAAAATACCACAAAGGGGTGGCTTTAACAACAGGGAATTCATTCTCTTACAGTTCTGGAAGCGAGAAGTCCGAGTTCAAAGTGCCAGGCTCCAGGGGATGGGTGAGAGTCCCTCAACCTTGGGCTTCAGCTCTGCCTCTTGCTCCTGTCCCACTGAAGCTGGAGGCTTTTTTTTTTTTTCCCACTCAGGCAACTGCTGGCTGCTGAGGCTGGCAAACCCAAGGTCAACAAGTAAAAAGACATAGTCCCAATATTACCAAACCACACAGCAGGCTACTGATTCAAATCCACTAAAAATCCCAAGATTGGCAGACAACACAGCGGGCTGCTGAATGATGACCCAGCTACATGCAGGATTTAAGTATGCCAAAAGCTGCAGACCACGCCCAAAGCTTCTCATTATATACTAGAAGCTAACTACATGGCTAAAGCAACCATTCAGTTGCTTGCAGCAGATTCTACCATGGAGTTGATTGCCAGTCTTATCATGGGGAGTAACTACCACCAGCTTCCAGCCACTCAACCAGACCAAGTTAACACATAACCTTAACTACCACAGTTGGTTAAGCAGCATTTCACTTCCCGTAAAATAAAGTAAACATTCCTTAGTTTGGCTTATAAAGTTCTCTGTGATCTTACCCCAGTCATCCTATTTTTCCAGACCTTTTTTTTCTACTACCTTTCATATAGGAGCCCTGGTGGCATAACAGTAAAGCATTCAGCTACAAACCAAAAGGTTGATGGTTTGAACCCACACAGTGCCTCCTCAGGACAAAGACCTGGCCATCTGCTCCCACAAGGATTACAGCCTAGAAAACCCTATGTTACCGTTCTGTCATATGGGGTCATTATGAGTTGAAATTGACTTGATGGCACCTAACAACAGCACCTTTGACACACCTTGCATTCCAGCCAAAATGAACTACTTTAGCTCTGGTGGTGTAGTACCTAAGGTGTTTGATTGCTAACCAGAAGGGTGGTGGTTCAAACACAGCCCCTCCTTGGAAAGAAGACTGGGCAATCTACTTCTAGAGATACCACCTCAGAAACCCAAGGAGTTCCAACTATGAGTCAGAACTGACTTGCCAGCAGTGAGTTTGGTTTGTTTTTTGGTATATTCAAGGAAGGTTTTTCTAAAAACATAAACATAGTTTTTAATGTTAATGTAATTTTAACAAAATCATAAATCATTCTAAAATTTAGAACATGCTTTCCTGATAGCACACAAACCAGAATGAGCTAACAATGCCAAGTGCCCACTGTGGTAACTGACCTTTACTAAAAACCAGTTGCCATAGAGTCTATTCCAACTCATGGCTACTCCTAGTATTTCAGAATAGAATTGTGCCCCATAAGGTTTACAATGGCTGATCATTGGAAGTAAATCATCAGGCCTTTCTTCCCAGTTGCCTCACACGGGGACTCAATAAATAAGTACTCAATAAATCTCTAGCTATTCAAAGATGCTCTATGGCACTCTCTGAACCCACATAACCCTTTTTAGATACCTCTCTTGAGCAGCTTAGCATCTTCTATTTTCTTTTATGATTGTTTAATGTAAACGTCTTAGATTCCCACAGATCATAAGTTTTAGAAAACCAGTGCTCAGTCTTAGTTTTATGTGTATCCATTACCAAGCACAATTTATGATAGCTGCTCAATAAATCTTTCCTTAATGAGTGAATAAAACTAGTGTGAGAACCAGAGTGGTTACTTCTGGAAACTGGCATGTAAAATGGGATGGGGAGAGTGGAGGGAAAGTGCTAGGAATTGAAATCTACTTGACTGCATTGGGTACTAAATGCAGGTATTGTGCTGAGCACAGCTTCATCCCTTATTTCATTCAGTCCTTTCCAAAAAAATCCCCACAAAGTGTGTGCTAATAATATCATCTCTATTTTACAAATGAGGATTCAGGCTTAGCGTCTTTTCAGTACTTTTCTTATTGCTTGTCCTCTTTCTAATCTATCACTGGAAATTGATAGCACTTTCCTCCAAGGTCAAGAACTTTCTATGATAACAACACGCAGCCCTCAACCCTTTCCACACAACAAGCCGCACGTAGCCCTTAACTGACTGAACCAGGTGCAGAAAACTCAGGGCGACGCTTATACTTTCCAGTCGCACAGGCACCGCCCACTTCGTTGCTGGTGATGTCATCACGCAGGGTCGAGGCGGCACAGTCACGTCCTTTATATAAGGTTTTTCTCGGCGCGCGCACGCACGCGTTTCAATGTGAGAAGTGGGTTGGAGTATTCGGGGCCTCGGCTCAGGCCCGAGCCGCTGCGGACCACGAGGTGGGCTGAAAAGCTGCCTTGCTGCAGAGACCGGGAAGGAAGGGCGCTGCCCTTCAGGCGGGCTTGCTCGCGAGGGGCGGGAAGAAAGAACATGGCGGCTGTTTTGACCGGCCAGGACCCTCCACTCCCCGCGCTGGCACGACCTCCTGCCTCGCTTTGCTCGCCCGTTTTAACCTCCCTTCCTAGAACCTTGTTTCTCTTATCTTTTCGTCACCTTACCCTCAGCTGTTTTTTGTTTTTGCCTTCATTAACCTCTCCTGCCCCACACTAGATCGAAGTGTAATTAAGTGGGAGATCCACTCCTAAATTTAACTGTTAGTTTTTCACATACCACTTTATCAGTCTGCACTGGGTGACCGAAGCACCGAACAGGGAGAACGCCTTATTCCTTAAAATGATCCTGTAAAATGCAGATTAAGTTGCAAGGACTTAAGTGTCTTGAACTGTGAAGTTCTCTTCGTGAGACCTTTCTAGGTCAAAAATTCTTGATATCCAGGGAGATTTTGACCTGCGTTGTCTGCCAGAATTGACCCCCTAACTTAAAAATTAAGAAAACGGCGGTGCGATTTATTTTCGCTAAGATACAGCCGAATTCAGACACAGTTTCATGCCGTAAAGTATAAGGAATGAGAACACAGTTGGGTTTCAGCTCTTCCTCTGTGAGTGTCCTAAGAGTAACGTTCCTGGCTATGGAAAAGGACTCATCCTACATCATCGCTTTTGCTCTTCTACAAAGAACCCTGGGAACGTTCTGTATTTTGTGTTAGGTGCCCAAGTCAGTGGAGGGTACAGGTTGAGTAGAGGTGGTTCTGCATTTGAATTAACATCACCTGCCCATGCCAATCACCTGCTTTTGATCTTGACCTTTTATTTTTCCACAGTTGAGTATAGATTGTGGAGAGACTCTGCCTCCATTGGAGCCTGCGCTGCCAGGCAGCAGAGTTGTCATAAAGAGTGCAGCAGAAACCTGGGACTTTGAGCTCTAAGGTGGCCATGGGTGAACCGAGGCTGAACTGGTGAGTTGCATGTTTGTTAACTCCCTAAAGAGGATTGAAGTGGGTCAAATAGAGTAACAAAGCAGGGATTTTGGCCTGGAGAGATTTGGAGGAAACAAAGCAGTTCAGGACCCCAGAATTTACCCTATTCTTATCTTCACGTATTGAGCACCTTTGAAACATAGCTGACTGCACTTCCACTCCTAAAGTAACAACTCAGGACTCACATTATTTGATCTTATTCCATCATGCATATATTGTTAGTCTTTTAGTGAAGGAGAGATGTTGGAATTTTCTTGTATCCGAGAAACTTGCCCATTTCCATATAAATAATGAAAGTACCCTTTTAGGGAGCTCTGGTAGCATAGTGCCTAAGGCACTTGACTGCTAACCAGGAGGCTGGCGGTTCAAACCCACCAGCCACTCCTCAGAAGGAAGGTTGGGCAATCCTACTTTCTAGTGATAACTGCCTCGGAAACCCAAGGAGGGGTCGCTATGAGTCGGGGCCGACTCGACGGCAAATAACAACAACAACAACCCTTTTAGAAAAACAAGCCCCTTTTGTTATATTGGCATATGTACCAAGTGTTAATGCAAATGCATAGACCTTATTTTAGGAGCGTATGAGAACTTTGCAGATGGAGCACCCAGTTAAGTAATATGTTGGTCTTGCAGAGATGTAGCTAATACATATGCTGCTTTAATCAATTTGTGGCACATTTATTGAGCCAGCCTATAGAGATGCAAAAGTCACAAGAGGTTACAAAGATCATTAAAATAGTACTTGACTCAAAGAAGATTCAGTCAGTATTTGTTCAGTAAGTATTTGTTTATTGCAAAAAATGATCCCATCCCCAAGGAGCTGGAAATCCCTCAGACCTATAATGTTGTTTTTGTATAGTATGCAAAAACCTTAGATATAGTTCCATGGCAAGGTAGTAAGAAACTCTACACTGGTGCATCCAAAAAACCAAACTCACTGCCATCGAGTTGATTCTGCCTCACAGGACCCCCTTTGGGTTTCCGAGGTGGTAAATCTTTATGGAAGTAGATTGCCCTGACTTCCTCTGCGGAGTGGCTGGTGGGTTTGAATCACCAGCTTCCTGGTTAGCAGTCAGATGCCTTTATGCCACAGAGCTACTTCACTGGTGTAGAGCAAATAAGAAGCTCTAATTTTACCATTTATACTTTAATCATAGTTTTTTGGATACCAAAAACCAACTCATTGCTGTGAGTCGAGTGGAACTCGTAGTGACCTCGCAGCACATAGTAGGAGGCCCTGTAGAGAGTTTCCAAGGCTATAGTCTTTATGAAAGCACACTGCTACATCTTTCTCCCATAAAGCAGCTGGTGGGTTCTAACCACCAGCCTTTCAGTTAGCAGCGGAGTGTAATCACTGTACTAACAGTAAGAAGCAATGTGGAGCAAAATGCTAGTATTTTTGCCTAATCTGGTGGCGTGGTGCCTAAGGCACTTGTCTGCTAACCAGAAAGCTGGCAGTTCAAACCCACCGGCCACTCCTCAGAAGGAAGGTTGGGCAATCTACTTCAGTAGTGATACTGCCTCAGAAACCCAAAGAGGGGTTGCTGAGTTGCATCCGACTCGACAGCAGTGAGTTTCAGTTAGATTTCAAGAATGGGCCAGCCAGAAGTTGCAATTTGATTACATTGCTTTATAATTGTAGGTTTTAAGAGGTATGCATTGTACTCCTTGCCACTGCCATAAAATTTGTGTTCATGACAGCACAGATGCTCCTGTATACCAGTGACGTTGTAGAACCAAATGTGGTTTAGAGGCTTTACACAATATTGTAGCCCTTGAAACTATTCTTTTCCACCCATTCTTTGTCCTCTCTAGATTAATGGTTCTCAATTAATTAATTCTCAGTTTTTTAATTCCTTCATTCAACCAAATTTATTGAATGTTTGCTATATGCAAAGTATTGACTAAAAGCTAAAATATGTTAATCTCTAAATTAATTATGTTATGAAAAATCATACATAGCCTTAGAGGTGAAGGAGCTCTGGTGGCATAGTGCCTAAGGCATTTGACTGCTAACCAGAAGGCTGGCTGTTCTAACCCACTAGCCACTCCTCAGAAGGAAGATTAGACAATCTATCTCCATAGCAATACCACCTCAGAAACCCAAGGAGGGGTCACTATGAGTCGGATCCGACTCGACGGCAGTGAGTTTGGTTTTTTTGGAGCCTTAGAGGTGGTTTTAACAAAAGCACACCATTTATCTCATTTGCCAAGTTAATGGAAATATGTAGAATATTAGATCTTTGTAGATAGTCTGTTGGCTCAACCCAGTAGCAGATAGAATAGAAATAAGTTGAGAAGAATTTTCCTTCAGCTTTCATATATCTTAGTATTGTGCCTTACAGCCAGAGGTGAGCCCTACTCCTGACAAGCCCTTCGTTATACTTTATTCCGCCCAATCTTTACTCTTAAGTCTCTCTGGCATTTATTTAAATGGGTACTAAAAAAAAGGAAAGGCTGATTGTTGAACTGGAGAATTTCAGAATGGGCCAAGGCCAGAAGCTATCCAAGAAGTAAAAGATCTAAAGCCATGGAACTGGTACATGGAATTGAAATTACTAAGAGGTGACTGGGGGGTGGGAGGGTAAGTTGTTATAATTATTATTGTACCATTATGCATCTTAGTTTCACCTAAGATTTTAAATTGTCAAATACAAATAAATTACTTTGTTTTACAGGGATGTTTCCCCAAAAAATGGCCTTAAGACATTTTTCTCTCGAGAAAATTATAAAGATCATTCTATGGCTCCAAGTTTAAAAGAATTATGTATTTTATCTAACAGGTAATTGTCTATTTGATTGTTGTTTTTCTGGTAATATATGTGTTTGTGTGAATATTTAGTACCCAATGACAACTTCCAGACATTTTTCTATACATGAACAGCTGTGTGTGTGTGTGTGTGTGTGTGTACGTACATATATATATACTTATATATACCTATTGGGATATATATATTTGTTTAACCATTTGAAAATACAAATAGGGTCATACTATAATACTGTTTTGTAGTTTGCTCTTTTCATTTAAAAGGATGTTTTGTATATCTCTCCATGCTCCCACAGATGGCACGATCTTTTTAATGGTTGCATATTACTTCATTATATAGGTATATTTTTAATGCATTTACTAGTTCCCTATTGCTAAATGTTTGCGATGTTCCTCTTTTTTGTGTAATTATAGAACTACATTGGTGAATTTTTTGTAATTATTTCTGTAAGATTAATTCATAGACATAGAATTGTTTGGTCAGATGATACATACATTTTATATTTTGATAGATACTGCCAGATTGCCAAAGATTTTCCCTCTCTGATATGAAAATGCCTATTACATGATAATTTTTACTGCTCACCTGGCTGTGGCAGCTCTTCTTTTTGATTGACTGTTTCTAATATAATGTGGATCAATCTTGAAACCAAGTAAGCAAGCTTACTAGAAAGGTGTATAAATACACCAGACGAAGAATTAGAGGAGTGCAGCATTTACTTTCATCCTTTTTCTATCCTTTTACCATGGAGGAAGCATATCTTCTTTCACAGCCAGTCCCTGCATGTGAATGGAAACCCATCTTTTCCTGCCTTTTGAGACCCTTAGTGTCAATTACAACCCCTCTTAACTCCTATATCTTTGTTCTCTCTATTTTTTAAGTCATCTCCATCAGTATTGAAAGGTGCTCAAGTTTTTCCTGTCTAAATAAATCCTCGAACTCTACATTCCCTTCTGTTTACTTTCTTCTCTCATTTATAGTTAAACCAAACCAAACTCATTGCCGTCGAGTCAGATCTGACTCATAGCAACCCCTCCTTGGGTTTCTGAGGCGGTATCTATACAAAAGTAGGTTGCCTAGTCTCCCTTCTGAGGAATGGCTGGTGGGTTTGAACCGCCAGCCTTCTGGTTAGCAGTCATATGCCTTAGATACTACACCACCAGAGCTCCCCATTTATAGTTATACTTCTTTAAAGGTTGTGCTAGCTATACTTTGACTCACTGTATGTCCCATTACACTTGCCTTTCACTGAACATTCCACTCTAATCTGCCTTCTACCCATGCTGCACTATTAGAAATGCTGCTTTCAAGATTATCACTGAGCACTTGGCTATCACAAAATCTCACTCTGCTGGTTTTCCTCCCAGCTTCTGGATACTGTGGTATTTCTCAGTCTTTTGCCATCTTCCTCCTTAGGCTTCCCATTCTGTCTGATCATTAGACTGTCTGTGGAACTTTCATAAGATACAGATTTTCTACTCTCAACCTTATCTTTTAAACCTGAACCTCTGATGATGCATCTGTAGAATGAGATCAGCCTATGATCAGTGAATATGTATAGTAATAGACATACCATAAAAGCAAAACAAAACTGTTGCCATCAAGGTAATTTTGACTCACAGTGACAATTAGGGTTTCCAAAGCTATAATCTTTATTATTTTTTAAAATTTTATTGTGATTTGAGTGAAAGCTTACAGAGCAGATTTGTTTTACATTCAAAAGTTCAAACACATTTTGTTTTGTGACATTGATTACAATCCCTGCAATTTAGCAATTCTCTTCCAACTTCCTCTCATGATTATCTTTTCCTTGTGTCCTTCTTACCTATGCATTCCTGCCTCCCTCGCTTTCTTCCTGTGCAAATGCTGCCCTTTTGATCTCCCATGGTTGATTATTCTAAGGAGTACATCTTCCTGGTGTAATTGTCCAGCTGCTAGGCCTGCCTGCCTTTGACTCAGAGTTAAGCCACAGGAGTGAGATAATTCCAGGCCCCAAGGCTGTAATCTTTATGGAAGCAGATTGCCACATCTTTCTCCCATGGAGCAGCTGGTGGGTTCAAGCTTCCATCCTTTTAGTTTACCAGCCAAAGCTTAACCATTGTGCCACCAGGCCTCCTTTAGACAGATACACATGCATATTTGTATTAATATACTCCTCCTTTTTTTCACATAAGTGGGAACATACTATGTGTATGTGGAATTCTGAATTATTCTTTTTGCTCAATGATTAAGTGCTTGGTTGCTAACGGAAAATCAATCGTTCAAACCCACCAGTGAGAGAAAAGACCTGGTGATCTGCTCCTGTAAAGATTAAAGCTTAGGAAACCCTAGGGGACAGTTCTGTTCTGTCCTGTAGGACTGTTATGAATTGGAATCAACTCGATGCACATGACAACAATAGCATATTTTAGTGATCTCTCCACATGTATAGATTAACCTCATTCCTTCCCATAACTGTATCATTCTGTTGTTCAATATCTTAATTTTTAAATTGACCCCTGCTGATTCATGAAGTTTGTTTCCTTTCTTTTTCTTTTGTGAACAGTGAGGATCTTTTTTATACGTGTACTTGCATAAGTAGGATAAATTCCCTATAAGTGGAGGGTATGTGTGCATTTTCATTTTGGTAGATATTGCCAAGTTGCCATTAAAGACATTAAAGTGCTTTTTTGATTCCATCAAATGAATAGCTAAGTTCACATGAAAGTAAGCAGTTGTATTAAAGGAGCAATTTCAAAAATAAATATTTTAAAGAGACGATTTCAGAAGCAGCATTCTT